TATCACATCGCGATCAAAAATCTCGGACGCGAGTTTGGCCGTCTCCGAGTTTTCCCAGAATCGTGAATACTAGAATCGAGTTTACGAACAAATATTTCATCGAAACCTCCCCCCGAAAAGCGAAGAAAAAGGGGTGGTGACGGTATCCGGGGAATCCGCGGAAAGTCGGAAAACTATAAGGGGAAACGGTTGTGGAGTGTTTTCACAACGAGACGCAGTTCCCTCGGCCCGCGTTAGGGCCTGGGGGCCGCCTAGTTCGGCGAGCGTCGCGACGCCACACGAGGCAAGCCTTTTTCGTGCCTGTCGGGCAAGCACCATCGCGCGAGAATGCGGGGGCGTCCTGACGAGAGCATATATTCGACGTCGCGACGCTCCCCAAGCACAGACGGCACTCCAACTCTGTCCCGTGCACGGTACGTAGAAACTGCTCTCTGGAACGGTATCGCGTCTCTTTGGATACTATCGGCTACCTCCCGAACCCTCGACGCTGTCCATGATACCATTCGGTTACACGCGATCGATCCTCTTCACCATTACCTTCGATAATTTTGTTCGGCCCACGGTCCTCCTCCGGGAATCCATGAGTCCGGCGTTCGTTTTCAGACGTTTCGCTCTTTTAAGGGAGCGGTCGAACTTCCTTCCAGTTGTTGTATCTGAAATAGCATCAAGGGTTCGGTCAAATGGTGCTCGAAAACTAAAGTGATACACGCTAAATTACCTACGAGTGAGTACGGGTTCTGTTTCATCGGTAAAACCAATCGAAATACTTATTCGGATCTCTCGGAATTTTGTTCACTTTCATAACAGATATGGAACGGTATATTTGTAGACTGTTGACATTCGTGCAAGCGCGGTTATTTAAAGACCGCTGTTTAGAATTTCGAATCGAACAGACCGCGGTTTTAGTAAATTGGAAAAATCAAGTAGGTGGCTCGCGAAGCTTCGTTCGACTCTCTATTGTATTTCGTACGATCAAGTGATCGAGTGTCGGCGTACATTATTCGCAATCTAATTATCGATCCTAATTTTAGTAGCAGCGTCTTAAACTGACATTTGGCTAGCTTAAAGTAACATCGATAATGAATTGTAACAAAATTTATTTCCATTGAACGAAGCTTACCAATTCGTGTATGTTCAAAGTCGGACGATGTTCAATCTGGTTTTTATATTATTTGTACGCGAAAGTGGCCGGATTATTTATTTTCTTTCATGAAAGTAAGCTGTCTTGTTTTATCGTTTAGCTTGAATGTTTTATATAAACTCGAAATATATATAATTTGATATTGTATCAACATTTTGGAGCCATTCAGACAATATTTGCCGTGCTTCGAAACGCGGTGAGAAGCTTCTATCTTTCTTGATATTTAACATAATATCTGTTGAATTGAATGCAAACTTACAATTTTTACAAAATATTAATTCGATAATAACGGAACACTTCTTACTGTTCAATATGAAACTATAGATAGTACTACATCCTTAAAAGTCGGCAAATTAACCCGCAAGTGTATAAAAAAGTTTGCAAATTCATAGCATTCGAATGGTCTATCGGTGATCATAATTCGTCTCATCGTAAGCGAAGCGGTAAAATGTTATTTGAATCGTGATCGCGTTATTTTTAATGACACGTATCTTGTAAAGAACTCAATGCATATATCACAATCCGAGCACCGTTTGATAAAGTAGCCAGTTCCTAATTAACGATATTCGGATAGAAATTTATGAGACAGCGGTGTAGCAATCCAAGAAATTCGAGTCGCTTGGCTATTTCTAACTTTCCGACAAACCCTCGCAAATTGTATTCTCAGTCGATAATAAGGATCATCACAGTTTTAAGCAACAAAAGTTTTTCATTTTTGCTCACACATGTATAGTTCTTCTCCCCCCCCCCCCCCCCCGG